GCTGGATGAGGAACTTGGGGTATGAAACATCTTGGACAGGGATGCTGATGGAGAGCCTGCTATGGACAATTTGGGGACAATTGATGGCACAGGGAGGTACCAACCAGATTCACCTACTAGTACTGTACTCGGAATATGATGCATATTGCTATATTGACAAAGGGGAGTGGTGAGAGTAGGCGAGAGGGTAGGAGGACAAAGGCGGGTTGGCAATGCGATCAGAGGGATTGGAGCGCTGATCTTGCATTATTAGAAGATAGTATGGATGCTGAGGAAACCTTATACCAAATTTCAAGTCAAACGGACGAGCGGGGAGAGCTCGACAATTCAGACCACGGGGAGGACGAGCGGACAGAGGGATTAGGCGCTGACGTAGGGGAAGAGCGTCGTCGGAGCCGCTGGGTCGCCGAAGGTCGTCGACAGGCATGTGAGCGTGCGAAAGTTCACCGTTGGCCTTGTCGACATGTCGACGGGTTTACTATACCTGTCAACCTGGTCAACGGTTGCGTCAACCCGCACATCACTGGTGGCGACCATCGGTGTAGGCGCTCAGCGCGGGCCGCGAGCCGCACCGTTTACCACGCCGATGATCGATCACGGACAACTTGAAAGAGTAGTAGAGGCTATTGTCGAAGTTTAGCGTATGTCGGTATACTGGAACCTACAGGACACGTCTACAGCAACTGTGGATCGCTATCCAACGAGTTACAGTAAACGCAGCCGCTTGGAACTCCTCTATATGCTTCACGAATCGCACCATGGCTCGTTGGGGCGCAACAGTGATCATATTACTGTACTCCCTGTCTCCCCTCACCAGCTCAAGTTCCCTTCTCTAGCATTGATATGGACAGTCATATCTACACTGTCAAGAATAGGAGGTGGTACCTTGAGCTTTCACCAGTCAACTAAGCGCTACATCTCAACTTCGTCTCGGATCCCATAGTATGATCGAGTATCTGTCATGAAACTGGACTCCATCGCTTCATATCCTCCTTGATTAGATGCCTTCGCTAGGGAAGTACGAGTAGCGCGAGTCCAACTCGCCCGTCATAACTGCCTTCACGTAGTTCGCAGACATCTTCGATGTGCGTGTCTGATTGTATCCAGGCTTGGTGTCCACCAGTCCAAACTTGATGGTGAAGCCGGATGACCACTAACCACCTCTTTAGCATGAGCCACACAGACAATAACGAGGTCACTCACTTCTAGATTGTCGATACACGACCAGAAGGATGCACCAATGAGCGGCAGGCCGGCATCAAGGACCCACTTGATATTCTTGAACGTGCTGCGGTACCAGTCGACACGATCCGCATCCACGACCCGCTCGCCAAGGTGCAGACTAGCCTCCTTGATTACAGCCATGCCGTTCTCCCCCACTGCACGAGGGTTCGAGAAACCGAGTGAGTGCACGTACGCAAGAAGATCACAGGTTCCTACCAGTAAACGCCTTGATGCCATTCTCATGCATGTACCTCAACCCAACGTATATCGTATCATTCGCCCGGAAATTCCAATCGCTCTCCGTGGGCTTCCCGATGAGATATCCAGCATGGTCCGTCTCGCTGTCCTCCACGCACTCCGGCCAGAAGTCCGGCTGTTCGCCCGTACACGCTGCCGCGTCTGACGCATTCAGCGCGGCGATCCACGTCGACGTATACGCGTCGAAGGCCACAAAATCGTACGAGCCGGCAAGCTTCTTCGTCTCCTCGGCTGTGAACGAGGGCAGAAGCGAGCCGAGCGCGGTGCGCATTGTGGGGTTGTACGTGCCATTGACGAGGGGAGAGACTTCCCAGAACTCGAAGGCGTGGTGCCTGTCTACCGCAGCGACGTCAGCAGCGGAGGTAGGGTCCATAGGCACTCCCGGGCCCTGAGTGTGATGTTAACTAAGGACGGAGGTTTATAGGAGGGTTGAGAACTTACGCCATCGATCTTGATGCCAAATTCGCCCTTCACCTTTCCTTGCTTCTTTCTCTCGACGAACACTTCATGGGCCTCGGCGTGCGCGAGCATAGCATTGTGCCTGCAAGTGATCTCGGTGTTGAAGGTCCCATTCGGAATCGCTGGTGCGCTAACGGGATCGGCGCCATAGCCTAGGAGGAAAGAAAGAACGAGATCGAGCGTCGATCAGACCTGCTGGGTAGGGGGATCTACACGGGTCTCACTTTACCTTCTTGGCAGAACGTCCGCGGTTCATTCATGGAGAGCCAGTCGTCACAGAGATCGCCCAAGCCGTCCATGATAATTTCGGCGTAGTTTCTGAAATCGCTGACTACTTGCTTGTTGAGCCATCCTCCGTACTTGTCCTGTAGGGCCTGAGGCAGGTCCCAGTGGTAGATAGTGCAGGCAGCAGTCATACCATTCCTGTGTGCAGTCATGATCACATCACGGTAGAAATTGAGCCCGGCTGGATTGGCTGTGGTGCCTGTGCCGTTTGGAAGAATGCGCGTCCACGCGACGGTGAAGTCGAACTGATTAACTCCGAGGGCCTGCCTAAAGAGAGGCAGGTCCCGGGGATAGGTGTGACTATCGACCAAGGAGGTTAGCACCATGTTTGTCACAAGGTAGCGATACTAGGAGGGAACCCACTAGAAGTCAACTGCGATATCTCCAGTCTCATCATTGGCGATGTGACCTAGCCCCTTCTCGTGCGCAAAGGTGTCCCAAATGCTTGTGCCTTTACCGCCCTCTGCCTGGGACCCGGTGGCGCCCTCGATTTGATAGGCAGATGTACCACAACTAAAAATGAAGTCGTCTGGGAGGGTACGACCATCGAGGACGTAGGCGCCTCGAGCCAGACAGCCCAATTTCAGCAGTATGAGTGCCGGCGCACCACCAAGTACGGAGAATGCTGAGACTTTCATCGCGGCAAACCAAGAACGTCCACCAGGATTTGAGTTGTTTGCAGCCTCTCCTGTGCACGGATCAGGAGCGAGAAGTGGAAACTGGTGTGACTGGAGCTTATCGGTCTTCAAGTACTCTCCACGCCGGCCTGCTGATGCGTTCGAAGTTCGAGAAGCGACTCGCTTCTTGGCAGTATGCGCGATTCAATGCGCGACTCCGTGCGGGAAGATAGAACGCGTCGGGATCCATAGGGTACCGTATGGTGGTATAGCTGTATAA